CGCCCCCCCCCCGTACAGTGTGGGGCAGCAGGGATCACACCTGCCCAGCAGCTGCCTCATAGTGCAGGTGCAGCGCAGTTTGGCAGGGCACTGCGCTCAGTCTGGGAGCTGGGGCTGCTGGGCCTGAGTGGTGCAGCAAAACATACAATTATCTTTCCCTTTAGAAAATTTCTTAGGACAGTGGAGGAAATAAGAGGATTGGAACTTTGGCTTTTTAAACCATATTTAACAGAAATCTAATAATTTATCATCCCAGATGTAAGACTATACAAAAAGTCTTAAATAGCTTTACAGTGCCTCAACTTAACAGTCTGTCTCTTGGTGCCCAAAGACATGCATTAAAACAAAGCATCCCACAATATTGTAAACCTTGGCTCTCTAAAACAGACCATCGTGCTATATAAGATTTTTAGTAAACCTTTGCTTGACTTGCAGAACAAAATAGACTGGTGCTTGTTATCTAGTAAGTAGCTGCAAAAGACTGGAAGAAGGAGATGAGGCATCAGGATAACAGTTTAATCCCCTTCAATGACTAGTGGATATGCATTAGTCAAAGATTATTTTCATGATCCTTTGAATATATATAAAAGAAATTATATTTGTAATGGTGCAAAAGTACAGCCTCACAGTGACATGACATGTATTACCACATTGTCTTCTAGACCTCTTCCATGTCACGTTTGCTGTCCTTGTTCTGGGAAGTTTCATGTAGTTGATAGTACATTAGTAACTGGAGCAATAGTAAACCAAAGTCATAGTTCAGGGAAAAAATGTTAAAAAAAGCGGAAGAAAGAGGATATCTGAGAGGGGGAAGGATGAAGTTCAGGGTAATGAGCATGAAGAGGATAAAAGAATATGGGGGAAGCGGGGAGACCTCTTAAGAATGAGGTGAAGGAACAGCAGCAGCAAAGGAAAAGGGTAAGTTATTTTCAGTCGCTTCCCTGATCGCAACTATACAGGCTACAATAATATCTTCTTCTGTTAATACTGGTTAAAAGTTAGCCTAAAAAACCCCATAACTGTGGCCTTACATGTCAACAGAGAAGTGTTTAATGCACTGAACAAATATATGAAATGTAAGAGGAGCCAGGGTTTCAGTGTAAGGTCAAATAAAATGTTTTTATGCTAGTCTAATGGACATCTCCTGAGACTCTTTTAAACACACCTTAATAGAACTGTAACAAATGTATGTACATTGCCTTCCATTAACAAAATGTCAATCTTAAGAAGTCAGTGATGGTGTCAAAACTAGATTTGCGTCATGACCACTTGAAGAAAATTCAGTGTCACTTAAAGGGTTTTTATACTACCATTAAAAGAAGACCTAAGAAAAAAACTGCTTAGTGTATACTAATAACAACAAGAAGATTCAGAGTAAAAGTTGATATGGTAAAGAAGAAGGTGATATGAGGAAATCATTAGAGTGATGTACTAACTGATGTGCCCAAATGATGTGCCTATGAGGGCAATTTGATACTCTGTTTGTATAGAGTATTCAAAAAAATATTTACAGCTGAATGGGCAGTTAGAGTACTTCACTCTGTCTTCAGGCCATGTATTCTGGCAGCAGTGCAAGCTTCTTTTTGCCAGTGTGTTTAATCCATGTCTAGAAGGGTTTTATTTAGTATATTCTGATATTAGGTAAAGAAACTAGAATGACATCTCTAGCATTGGGTTAAGTGTTATTTCCTTATTTCTTGGCCTTTCTTCTCAGACTACAGAGTATGGTTCCATTTTGTGGACATTTGTTTATTTTAGATGTAGTCCAAGAATACTAGAGGTGCACTGATATATCATTCGCATGTTCGATCAGCACCAGTAAAAGGAAAATTAACATTATTGGCTATCGGCTTTTTTTGGCCAGTGTAACTGATAATGTCACCGATAAATGCAAGGTGCATGCGCACAGCCTCAAGCATGCACGCAGTTAGAAATGCAGCCAGACAGCTTGGAGAGCAGTTCCCTGCAGGTAAGTCTGTGGAGGGGAAGGGGCGTCGGGGAGGGAGTGGGGCAGGTGCAGGCTCTGCCCAGGCAGGAGCAGGTGCTACCCAACAACGAGGGCAGTCAATGGGACACCGGGCCCAGGAGTGGGATGGAGCCACGGGTGGCTTATCCAGGGGGCATGTGGGGTGGGGAGAGAGGTGTGGCTCCCTGCTTCTGCATGTACCCCCAGGGGAGGCATCAGGGAGGCATGTGCACTTCCCCTGGATTTGTGTGTGGGGGGGAGGTGGGCTGCTTGATGCAGGCTCAGGGCCAGGGGCAAGCCAGCCTCCTTCTTGTGGGGAGGCTGGGCTGGGACTAGGCTTGGAGCGGGCAGGAGCAGGACAGGCTCAGCTGCATGGGGTGGGCAGTGGCACCGCTTGGGGGGTGGCTATGGGGGCGGCTAAAGCAGATTTTGGGGTGGCTATAGCCCCCCCCAAGCTCCCTCTGGTGCCACCCCTGCTTGGGGCACTCTGCTGCCATTCCCTCAGGAGCCCCACACTGTGAGGCTGGCAGGGGGCATGTTGCTGGCATAGGTCTTCCAAGGGAAAGACAGGAGAGTGGAGTGCCCCAAGCAGGGGTAGCACTGAGGGTCTTGTGGGGACTATGTCCACTCCAAAATCTGCTTTAATCTCTCCCCCCGTAGCCACTTCTCACAGCACCGCTGCTACTACCCGCCCTGTGCAGCTGAGCCCACCCTGCTCCCGCCCACTCCAAGCCCAGCCTTGGGCCAACCCAGTCAGTGGGACACTGGGCCTGGGAGCAGGGAAGAGCCATGGGCGGCTCGTCCAGGGGGCATGTGGGGTGGGAAGGGACAGATGACTCCCTGCTGCTGCATGCACACTCAGAGGAGGCATCAGGAGGGCATGTGCACTTCCCCTGGATTTGTGCACTAGGAAAAGCCTGGTGCCACCCCTGGCCCTGAGCCCACAGCAGGGAGCCCACCTCCATTGCATGCACAAATCTGGTGGGGACACATGCCCCCCACATGCTTTCCCTCGGGGTGCACTCAGCAGCAGGGAGCTGCAACCCCTCCCCAGCATCCCCACGCCCCCTGGATGAACTACCCTTGGCTCTATCCTGTGACCCTTTCTGGAGGCCCATTGACCACCCTGGCTGGTCAGTACCTGCCCCTACCCCACTCTCTTCTTCACTGTGGGGGCCTCGATTTGCCCCCTTCCCCCCATCTCTTCCCTCCCCCACGCCCCTTCACTTCCACAGACTTACCTGCAGGGTGCTGCTCTCCAAGCTGCCCAGCTGTATTCCTGTAAATCAGATATTGAACAGTATTGCCCAATATCGGCTATCAGTATCGGCCAAGAAAATCTTGATCAGTGCACCCCTGAAGAATACCAGCTTGTCATTTGAAGTCTACCAGATGTGCATCGCTTTGTTAATGAGTTTTGATCATTGTTAACATGTACAGTATTTGAACAAGTTAGTGTGAGAAATGGAATCTGAAACCCGTAAAAATCCCATAGAACTTTTAAGTTGAAGTATATGAGAAGATTTTGCTTACAAATGAGCTATGGGACTGGATGACTCAAGAGATTGATATTGGCCAATGCAACCTATCAGTTCTTGGTAATAAACTTGATGTTACGTTATGACAGCTGCTACAAGTAATCTTCCTTTTCATTCTGTAAAATAGTAGCATTGCCATACTTCAAAGATACCTATTCCTGCTCCAAGTTTATCTGTTCAATCCATTCCTGTGGCTTTATATATCAACAATTTGTTTTACTTATCACCATGGATTCTGAGTGCTCATTGTCAAGAGAGAGAGAAAACATCTCCTGTTGTACTGTCTGGTCTCTGAGCTTGTACATGTATGTACAAAGGCATTTTAAAATCAAACCAGTCTTTCGACAGGGCTATCATTGGAAGCACAATATGTTCTCTGGTTCTTATTGTTTCCTATTAATTGGATTCCCAAGACCCATTATTTTTAGTTAATGGGATGTCTCTATTTCTTGTTTAAAAGCTACTTGCGCGACTGGAGGGCAGAAGTTCTCTGAGAAATCTTGAACCTTATCTGTTTGCTGATGAAGGATTTCCCATTCATGGTAAAATATATCTTTCTCTTACCTTTAAGAAATACTGCAGTAAAAAGTCAAGTGAGGTTTGGGGGGAAGTGTTGTCTATTGGATTACCTTGAGCATGTAAATAGATATAAAATCCTAAATCCAGAGAAAAAAGTTTTAATGTATTTTACTTAGGCTTCTGTAAAGCATCTGATTTAGTATATTCTGACATTAGGTTAAGAAACTAGCTAGTTAACAAGTCTCCAGATGTAATTGTAGATGGCCCATCATCAGGTAGATATGCTTCTCATGGGGTCTTGCAGAGATTGATCCTTGAACCAGTGATTTAACATTTTTATAAAGCCTGGATGAAGCATAAAATCATCATGAATAAAGCTGACAGATCACTCAACTATTAGGAGTTAGTAAAGAGGACAGGACAATAATATTGAATATTTGGAATAGCTTGGCAAGCTGGGCACAAGTAATATGTGTGTTTAATACAGCTAGATGTAAGGTTATACATCTAGGGACAAAGGATGCAGACTGTACTTGGAAGGTGGTCATCTGTCCTGAGAAACAGTGATTCCAAAAAGGATGGAGGTCAAAGGGGACACTTAGCTGGACTTGAGCTCACTCTGTGACACTGTGCTCAAAAGGGTTACTATGGTGTTTGGGTGGATAAACTGGAATTTTGTGTCCAAGTAGACAAATTGGGTTGCCTCCGTGTTCGTCATGGGTGTAACTGCTCTTCAAATAGTGTGTCCAGTCCACAGTTCAAGCAGGATGTTGATAAACTGGAGACGGTCGAGAGAGGAATTAGAAAAGATCCATAAGGATGATTAAAAGTGGAAAATCATGCATAAGAATGAAAAACTTATGGTGATCAATATGCTTAGGTTTTTCAAAAGAAAGTTAAGGGGTAAATTTATTGTGGTCTAGAAATAACCATTTGGGAATCAGAAATTTGACAGTACAGCAAAAGCTGTGTTATCCAGCACTTTACCAACTGGAAAGCTCCACTAACCAGCATCTGTCAATACAAATCTTCATTCCGAGGGACGTGGCAAAAGCAAAACCAGAAGTCCTGCTTCCGGTTTTGCCTCCGCAAGCCAAGTTAGTTGGTGTCTGGAAAGAGGGAAGCATTTGAAATGTAAATGTTTGCAGATGCTGTATTAACAGCAATTTAATGGCTTAAAGCCCTCGTGCACCAAACGTGGCATATTTGATTAACCGGCATATTTGATTCCCCCATTCCAAGGGGATGCCAGATAACAGAGCTTTTACAGTATAAATAGCCCTTCAGTAAGGTGTAACAAGATGAAGCTAGGCATACAGACTCAAGGTACAAGTTTTTAATAGTGAGGGTAATTAATTATTGGGACAATTTGCCAAGGGTTATGAAAGATTCTTCATCACTTGAAATGTTTAAATTGAGATTGAATGTTTTTATAAAACACATCTTCCAGTTCAAACAGAAACTAATTCAGGAAAGTTCTCTGGCCTGTGTTATGCCAGAGATTGGTACAGGTGATCACAGTAGTCTTTATTGATGATATAATCCAGGGGTTGTCAAATGGGGGTACGCATATCCCTGGGGGTACTTTGAAAGGTCCCAGGGGGTATGTGGGGGCGGGCAGGGATGGAGCACCACCACCCCGCGCCACTGCCTCACAGGAGCACGGCTGGGGTAGGGCGAGGGAAGAGGCGCGCAGATGCTGCTCTGCCGCCAATCCACCACTCTCCACGACCCCACTCAACATACGACCACTTGCCACCCTCCCCACTCCTGGGGGTGCACTTATTAAAAAGGGGGTGCCAGGGGTTCAGTTAGTAAAAAAAGGTTGAAAGCCCCCGATATATTCTATGAAAAAAAACACTTCCCAATTTGAAGGCCACTGTCTGAAAAGCAGCAGTATAATTGAATAGCAAGTGGGAAAAAGCAAGCAGTGAGAAACCACTGCTGTGTATATTTGACACTTTTCACATAAAACCAGAGAGGCTGTTGTGCTACTCTAGCTCTGGTGTATCTGTGTACAGCTCTAATTCCTATACATTATTGTGATTTTAGAAGAATTGACAAATGACCAAAATTGGCAATAACATCAAGATAATTGGGAGGAGGCTGAGGGAGCTGTGTCGTAATGAAGACAATTATTATGGGGTCACATGTATCTTATTTCATAAAATTTAGGAACATGCTAGGTGTCTGGCAGTATGTAATCCTTGTTCTGGGGAACATGACACAACAAAGGTGGTAGCTGGTTAGGGAAAAGTAAGATCATGTGGAGGGTAGAATATAGTACGATGGAATAGTTCCATAGTTGGTAGGGTTGTGTGGCGGCGAGGTGCCCCCACAGGCTCTCGAGGGGGAGAGAGTAGAGCCCGCGGACCCCAGACCCTGAGAGCAAGCCCCCAGAGGGGCTAACGTACCTCCCGGAGAACAGCTGGAGCAGGAGCCGCGACCGCAGCCATGTGAACTGGCATTACGTCGGCAGTTTCATCAGCTGTTTCTGGTGCGGGGAACAGCTGACCCAGTCCCAGCGGCCGTACCGGCCATTGGGGGAAGGTTTAAAAACCCCATTGGAGTGAGGACAGGGAGAGAGCCAGAGAGAGAGAGCACGGGCTGGCAGCTCGTGAGGCAGGCTCCAGCACAGGGAGGAAATAATCCAGCGTGCGGGGCTCAAGCAGGCAGCATAGGGAAAGGCTTTAAGCCTCCTGCAGGAGGCAAAGCAGGAGGCAAAATAGGAGGCAAAGCAGGAGCCCCCGCACAGCCACCTGAAGAGGCTTACACCAAGGAGGCAAGGGAGCTCCCTGCTTACGGTAGGGGAGAGGAGGCACCTGAGAACCCGAGAGGGGGCTGGGATAAGGGAGACAACCCTGCAGCTCCTCCTTACATGGAGGAATATTTTCTATTAAAAAAAAAAAAGAAATCTTCCCCAAGAAGGGAGAGAGAGCGACTGGAACCCGGGAGACCGGTCTGAGGCCGTTATACAGGGCCAGAAAATATCTGTAACACATCACCCACCGGTTGGCGAGTAGACGGGGTGTAGGGGAGGCAGAGCCCTGTAGAACATCAAGTCGGACGATTATAAGTACCGCCGCCTATCAGAAGGCCCATCCAAGAAAGATCTCCACTGCAGACCCCTCTTAAAGTGCGTTTAACATCAAAGTCGTGGCAGGCGAGTTGAGGGGAGAGGCCACACCCCAATAGGCCGGGTAGCGAGAGGGGCGCAAGCTTCACAGTTTGGAAGGGACCTGAGCAGATCGTCAAGTCCGACCCCCTGCCATGGCAGGAAAGAGTACTGGGGTCAAATGACCCTGGCAAGGTGTTCATCCAGCCTCCTTTTAAAGACCCCCAGGGTAGAAGCCAGCACCACTTCTCTTGGAAGTTGGTTCCAGATCCTAGCCGCCCTGACTGTGAAGTAGTGCCTCCTGATATCCAGCCTGAATCTACCCTCTGCCAGCTTGTGACAGTTATTTCTTGTCACTCCTGGTAGTGCTTGGGGAAACAGGGACTCTCCCAATGCCTGCTGGTCCCCCCTGACTAGTTTGTAAACAGCCACTAGATCCCCCCTCAACCTTCTCTTGTGGAGGTTAAACAGGTTAGCCTCTCCTCGTAGGGTCTGCCCTGCTGCCCCCTGATCATGCGAGTGGCCCTCCTCTGGACCCTCTCCATGTTGTCCACATCCCTCCTGAAGTGCGGCACCCAGAACTGGACGCAGTACTCCAACTGCGGCCTGACCAGTGTCGCATAGAGGGGGAGGGTCACCTCCTTGGACCTGCTTGAGATGCATCTGTGGATGCATGACAAGGTGTGGTTGTCCTTCCTGATCGCGTCCCCACACTGTCAGCCCATGTTCATTTGGACATCAGTAATGACTCCAAGATCCTTTTCTGCCTCTGCACTGACAAGAAGGGAGTTCCCCAGCCTGTAGGTATGCTGCTGGTTCTTCCTTCCCAGGTGCAGCGCCTTGCACTTGTCAGTGTTGAAACCTATCCTGTTCTCATCCGCCCACCCCTGTAACCTGTACAGGTCCAATTGCAGCCTATTCCTCCCTTCTACTGTGCTTACATCTCCCCACATCTTAGTGTCGTCTGCGAATTTGAACAGGGTGCTTTTTACACCCTCGTCCAAGTCGCTGATAAAGATGTTGAACAGTACGGGCCCAAGGACCGAGCCCTGCAGAACCCCACTGCCCACATCCCTCCAGGTCGAATAAGACCCGTCCACCACCACTCTCTGGGTGCGGCCCTCCAGCCAACTAGTGACCCATTTGACTGTGTAGGTGTCGATGCCAGTCTCCTAGTTTTTTAATGAGAATGGGGTGAGAGACAGTGTCGAAGGCCTTCCTGAAGTCCAGAAAGACCACGTCCATTGCTACCCCTGTGTCTAAGGATTTTGTGACCTGGTTGTAGAAGGCCACCAGGTTGGTCTGACAGGACCTGCCTCAAATGAACTCATGTTGGTTGCCCCTAAGCATACACTCCCCTGCTTGCCCCTCATGGACGTGCGCCAGGATAATTCTCCAAGATAATAATGACTCCACGATCCCTTTCTGCCTCTGTGCTCACAACGGGGGAGCTCCCCAGCTTGTATGTATGCTGTGGATTCCTTCTCCCCAGGTGCATCACCCTGCATTTATCTACATTGAAGCCCATCCTATTACCATCCGCCTACTTCTGTAGTCTGTCTAAATCTCATTGCAGCCTCTCTCTCCCTTCAAGCATGCCTACCTCTCCCCACATCTTGGTGTCATCGGCAAACTTGGACAACGTGTTTTCCACCCCCTCGTCCAAGTCGTTGATGAAGAGGTTGAACAGTGTAGGCCCCAGGACTGAGCCCTAGGGGACCCCACTATTCACATCCCGCCAGGTCGAGTACGACCCGTCCACCACTACTCTCTGGGTGCACTCCATCAGCCAATTTTTGACCCATCCAACTGTGTAGGCATCAGTGCCGCAGTCGCTCAATTTATTAATGAGAATGGGGTGAGAGACAGTGTCAAAGGCCTTCTTAAAGTCCTGAAAGACTATGTCCA